TCTTTCTTGGACTAAAGAAAAGATTACTATTTTCATGTCAATACCAAAACTAATATATATATATATATATATGTGTGTATGTCATTGGTATACTACGTGTAGGATGTGATTGTGGTAATGAACATGTGTGCATTTCTTGAAATATAAACCGTGATTGTAGTGAAATATAATTTTCTAATAAAAATGATTAGTTGATTTAAAAATAAAAAATAAAATTATATTTTATTTATACTGGGTAAAAATATATTCCGATCCCACAAAATAATTTTTTTATTACAACGTAATATATTTTATTTTTACAAAATTAAAGAAGTACTGCTTCAGACTACCATCCTAATTGATAACGATGACCGCAGCAGCATGCACCATCCTCCGTACGGTTAAATTAAGTTTGAAGGCATCAGTCCAAATTACAGTTGGGATGAAAGACCTAATTCATCATACTCCACAAGTTAATTACCAAATTTGAATCAATTATCTTAATGATCCATCTGGGTTTATCTAAATTGAGAAAGTTCCAACACCCAATCATCAAGAACTACTATTAATTGAAAAGAAAAACAAGAACAAAAGAAAGATTTAACAATATAAAAACCTAGTGCAGAACAAGAAAAGACAAGTTCCGAGTATGAACTAGCATCTGGTTGGCTGCAGAATGATATGATGATGATGGTGATGATGAAAATGAGGCGGTGGTTGCAAGAATTTACATAAATCCAACTGGGTAATCGTCTCCCCACTACCTTACAATATTGCTTTTGTTTTCTTTTCTTTTTTTTTTTTTTTGTTTTTCAAATACTTAATATATATATATATGTATATATATAGCTAAAGAACGAAGGAGCTCCATTAGGGCAGCAATCTGTCATCTTGTCCCCACTCTGAATCAGAAAACGTGACTGCTGATGTATTCGTCTTTGTATTCTTCACCTTTATGATAATCATCCATGGTATCTTCAATTCGAATCTTCATTAAAAAAAATTTAACAAAGAATCGTAACAATAACAATACTAATAATTTTCCAACTTTCTTGTAGACGTTAAAGAAGAGCTAGGGAGGAGAAAGAATCATCAATCAATCTTGGCTACTGGTTCGTCCTCTAAACCCTAAAAACCCTAGGAGAAAACTACCTAAAAACTACTGCCGGTATTTTGGCATCGTTAAAAAACTATTGCCGGCAGTTTGGCATTGTCAAAAGAGCTTGCCAAAATGTTCGAGTTGTTGCTAAAATGGCGAAAGCGAGGAGAAGATAGGATGGCGAAACACCACGAAAGCCGGTGGAGGAATCGACAGAGACGGCCTTTGGCTGATCTTTGTTCGAGCTTGACTTGAGGCTGCATTCGTTAAAAAAAAAAATTAGTGATCAGTACTTGACTATAAACAACTAACTCTTATGTCGGTTAGTACTTGTGTATTTGTATAAAAATAGAGATTAGAACTCTGACACTTCTCTAATATAAAAATAATAACATATAATTAATTATAATTACAAATTATTGCAAGATTTATTTACGTTGGCCGGTGCCGGCTCCTTATCAGAAATGTCAACACAATGACCAAGAACAAGTTTCCTAGACATATAACCAGCGTGCAAGCCATACACAACGCTACGCCATGTGGGTTCCAACACCGACCTATGTCAGATTTTATCAGTTCCCCTTCTTGTTTCATCATCTTTATTTAATTACCATGTTTCCCACTTAAGAATGAAATAATAATAATAGAAACTTCAAATTATTTTTTAATTTCAATTCTTGAAATAAAAAATTCCATCAAACGAAATTTTATAATATAAAAGACCCAATTTGGCATATAAAACTAGGAAAGAAACATTTTTAACCAAACATGATTAACACTGATGCACGTAAATTGAATCAAGAACATCCTAATAGTTTAATCTAGGACCAAAAGGAACTATTAAAAAAAAATTTATAACTATATGCGTTCCTGTATGGACTATATGTATTTGTTTCTTTTGTTTAAAAAAGAACAACCAAATAAAATTACCTGGTGGAAGGGGCAGGACAGAAGGTGATGAGATAATCAGCACCTGCACAAGTGAAGGTACTGGTGCTGTCATCATAAGCGTAGCTGTAAGCTCGAGGACATGCATTTTTGAAAAACTCAGAATAGGAGGTGGGTTTGCACGTAGCCGGTGTGGCATAAGCCCCACTGCAACAATATTCAGGATTCCCAAACGCGTTGCATGCGCTTTTACACGCTACATTTTCACCATCATCCACAACCTTGAGCTCCGTCGGACACGCACTGTTCAACTCCACGAGACACCCTGTTGCACTGCAGTTCCCTCCTCCGTTGCCGCCCTGCGGGGCAACCATTATGGGAAGGTTATAGCCATCAACAAGACTGACATCAAAGAAATCCAACCCACCAGCGCCGTTGAGTGTGAACTCTGCTAGGGTGGCAGGAGGTACAGCACCGCTACCAGAGCACTCAATAGTCGAGGAGCCACAGTCACCGGATAGGCAAGAGAATTTGCCGGTTGCATCTTGGGTACAGAAGGTTCGGCCCCATATCCGTCCTGACCAAGAAGGTGGTATAAGGAGAGAAGAAGACTCTCCTGGTTGAAGAACAAACCCTGTGGTTGATAGCGGCGGAGTTCCAGCACCTGAGAGCAAGCCTGGCCAAACAGGGTATCTGCACTTGTTCAATATTGTGAATGTTGTTGAATAAGCACCTGAAACAAATCAAGAGGAACAACATTAAAAACCCATGTGAAAACAGAGAAAAAAAAGAAAGCTGCTGGAGTTCGAACCAATATATATGCATACCTTGAAGAGAAAGAAGAATAAGAATAATGGTTAGTCGAGCAGCAATGGAAACCGCCATTGAATTGTAAGGAGGAGTTCAAGAGACTTGCGTCGTCCTCCACTACAGTTGGGATTTTGGTGGGTTCTTGGTCTTGTAAGAAAAGAAAAAGAAAAGAGGGGAAGTCTATTTATAGATTGGCTAGGGTAATGGGCAGGCATGTGCGCCCTCTATTATGGAAACATGGAAAGTAGGGACAAAAACATAAGGTTAAAAGTCTAAGGGATCCGCATTGGGCATCCCATGTGATACCATGCCTTAAACCGTCACAGTTCAAAGTCGGCTACTTTGTCCAATTGTATTTAGTAACCTTTTCTTAAAAATAATTTTTAATAAAGTAATACAAAACCCTTCTATTATATATATATATATATATATATATATATCTCGAGTAATAAACCCAATTTTCCTAAATACCACAGATGCTATTCCCAAAATAAAATCTCCTAAACAGCATACATAGTATAGTATCCTAAAAACAAAATCTGACCTTACAAATTGTAAGGTGCAACTAAATTTCTTTCCCAATGATTTTAAGTGTTTTAAGATATATTCTTTTATGTAATATGGAAAATAATTAAAAAAGAAAACAGAGACCAAGAGACAGAACTAAACTTAATGAGGGCATGATGCAGGCCCTTGGAAAGATGGAAGGGTGCGTGTCTCATGTGAGTTTGATTGTTCTGGACAAAGAAACCTGTCTTGGTACGACTATGGACGTCAGACTCGCACGCTCAGATAGGGACAGCCCCTGATGTCCAAGCATATACCCATCAACCACTGTCTTTCATAGATTTACACGGTCAATATCTACTACACCTGCTCAAGTTGCTACACGGTTAATTATGCAAGTTGTAACTAAAATTAGTAATATATTCTATATCAGTTTATCGGATCGGCTTGGATCAAGTGATTTATTATATATTCATATTTTGTGGCCGAAATCCAGCAGGGGCTACTCTAACCAGTTCACAAGATGAACCCCCTCATCATTCATATCATATATCATTCTGTGTCCCTTGCATGAGTCGAAAAAGTACACCAGATGACTTTTCTGTTTTCACCCTATGTTGAATAGTTCAAACTCAAATCAGAAATCCAGAATCCAATAAGGAAACAGTCTGGGCAGATAGTGCAAAAACTATACCAATAAGCAACCATCTCAGAGTTGTTCTATGCATCACTTTCCGTTTATCTCCGCAATCTCTGATATGAAACTGGTCAACAGCCTCCTTCAGCTCTGAATTTTTCAATTTTGGACAATTTATCCAAACTTCAAACTTGAATCAGAAATCCAGGATCCAATAAGTAAACACGATGTAGATGTTGCAAAAGAAAAATCAAAACGAAACTCTGTTCTACACATCACTTTCCACTTATCTCTGCAATCTGATCATAAAACTGGGCAAGAGCCTCCTAATCTGACTTCTTAAATTTTAGAATAAAATTACAATTACATCCTACTAGTATGACCTTTTTAGAAAACTAATCTCATATTTTTTTAAAAAAAATTAGTTTTGTGTGGTTTGATTTTTTATTGTCATGCAAATATTATCCAAGAAACTGAAGATTCTATATAAACTGAGTTAACAAAGAAAAAAATAAGTACAATGTGCAACTGAACTATCATTAAAGAAACACGGGAATGAATCAAAATATGGGGAAAACACAATGGTGGAAACTATACTTTGCTCTAAGATATATGCATCAAACAGGTGAACCCCACTACCAAAATCTTCGAAGAAGATGATCCTCCTCTCTAATTTGAGAAGGATTATACCAAGCACAACTTCTTTGCAACATTACTATTTTGATAGGAAGATAGAGTGGCACAAGAATGTTCAATTGCCTCTACACCTTCGAAATGCATTGAGTCATCTGGCTTAGAAATCAGGAATTCCCCTCTATTCAGTTTCAGGTCGAATTTACATTCAAGTGCATAACATTATACCATCCTACTGGAAAGCATCTTAGTTGGAGAAAAAGCTTTTACCTCGCCTGATATCCAATCTATACCTTCAGAGAGTATTCAGTCATCTGGCTGACAAAATCAGGAGTTCCCTTCTATTTCAGACTCAACTCTCATGTCTAATCTACTTTCAAGTGTATCATATTATGTTATCCTATTAGAAGTATCTTAGTCGGCAAAAAAGCTTTTAATCTTACCTCCAATTATCCCTTGTAGCAAAACATGCAGAGATCATCAATCAACCTCTTTGCACAGATTTGCCAAAGGTGTGTTGTCCTGTTTTAATATCCCTGTTATAAGATGGGAACCCCATTTCAGTTCTTCAGATATATATGTAAGATCTAGCTTACATTCACATAACCAGTTTTTAGAATACACTTCTCAAAAATAAGAATGACAGCAATTGCAGGCTGAAGAAAGAAAAGTATGCTAAGGTAATGTCCTTCAAAACACACCCAATTCCTTTTAACAGCTGCTGCCGCTTCATATAGATCACAACCAAATTTCACAAACAGCAGACTAGACACATTATTTCTAACAACAAACATTAGCATCCACCCTCCATCGACTTACCTCCTTGTCCACCAACATTGGAAACCATCATCCTCACATGACCACAAAAAAAAAAAAGAAGCACAACATTTTCACCGTGTGAAAATTAATCAGAATTCAGCAACCATGTCTCAGAGCCTCCAATAATAAGCACCTAAACTCAGATTACTATCCGCTAAAATTCTCTCAACCAATATTTTATCATCTATGACCATTTCAATCTCAAGAAAGGGTACGAATCCAATAAAGTTAAAGCAGTTAATGCTGTTCCACAAGACTGGTAGTAGATTGAATGAAACTTCTTAACTCTAAGCCGGAAGTACCGGATAACAATTAAAAACTTAATTTCACCAAAACCAGCTAGGTTGAACTAAATTAACCATTTAGTTCATAAAGCTATAAACAAAATAAAATAATTATGTTGGCTAGATACAAAAAAATTCTCACCCCCGACTTGCTTTGCTACCTTTTTTTTTTTTTGAGAAGTCAGTAACATTTATTCCCACAACAAACAAAAATCATTGCTTGAAGGTAGAAACCCCTGTGCACATTTGGCTGTGAAGAACTACTATCCAAAAGCTTCTCTGATTTGAGATTAAAGCATTCAATGAACCCAAAAAAATTCAGAAGTTTGGCTGGCACATTTGAAGAAAAATACTATTCTACTGTACTCTACTCACCAAAGACAAGTTAATAACACAAACTGACAAGACAACATAAGCCAATTACGACTAACAATACTCATTTTAATAGATTAAGATGCTTATCCAACAATCAAAACTGTTCTCTCAAAAAATAAAGACAATTTAAAGAATCATATGTTTGTTATCAATATAGATTCAAGAGCTAATTGATTTCACATTGTTCACAGCCAGTTTTCTTAATCGAGCTCAGATTTGTTTCACAATCACAAAGTCAAGCAGCACACCATCTGATTGATACTTCAGAAAAGGCTAGTAAGTGGAGCAAAACCGATCAGAACACAATTGATTCAAGTCCCAAACCAAACAGATAGAGCATCAACGATCCAGAAAGGCCTGTCCTATATTCTCGCATAACTTGGAACATGAAACTATCAACTAACAAGTTCACAATATGCTAATGAATTAACTATCACTTAGAAGACCAAAAATGAATTAGAAATCAATCCCATGTTCATCCTTAACAAGAGAAATGAAGAACTTGATTAAGAAAAAGACATCGCCTAAATCTGTATGTATCAGAAACAGGATATAATTCCTCCCCGAACAGAATGCCACTCCGATCTCAAAAAAAGAAACCATGTATAACCCTCAAAAATCCATGATAATATATCCCCATAGAAAGAAAACTTAAGCCGAAAAAGAGGAATATGTACTATTACTCTTTTTTCCCTTTACTTCATCAAGCACCATCATTAGGACACTCCCTTGCGAGATGCCCCTTCTCCCCACAGTTATAGCAACCACCGCCTCCACCGCTTCCTCTAACATCACAGTCCCTTGCCATGTGCCCATACTTCCCACACTCGAAGCACGCACCGCCATTGTTTCCCCCACCCGCAACTCTTCTATTATGACAATCCCTCGCCAAGTGCCCGTATTGCTGACAGTTATAGCACGGACCACCAACACCTCCACCACCTCCTCCACTGCCCCGCCTGCATTCCCTCGCGAAATGCCCCATTTCGCCGCAGACATAACAGCCTTCACCACCACCGCCTCCACGGATGTTATTGCTGCTGTTATAGTTACTGTTACCACTGTTAGTACAATCCCTAGCCATGTGCCCCGTGTCCCCGCAGTTATAACACCCCCCGCTGCTACCACCGCCGTTGCGCCTATCGAGGCCTCTCCATCCACTTCGGAAGCTGTTGTCTTTCTTGTTGATAGCAGATCCACCAGGCGCAGTCACATCAACCGCCTGGGTCTTCCCGCTGTTTCCCTGGGAAACGGTGTACTCGACGGACTCTCCCTCCGTAAGGCTACGGTAACCATCCGATCTAATGGACGATTGATGCACGAACAACTCCTCACCTCCATCGTCGGGCGTGATAAACCCGAACCCCTTCGAGTCGCTGAACCAGTTCACCTTCCCGGTAGATCTTCCCCCCTGAGCCATTGAATCAAAATCAACTGAAACTGTATTCTCCTCTCCAGAGATTTTATATGATTACAGGATCTGTCAAATGTCCGAAATATAGAGGAGAAAGAGATCTAATCGAAGACGAACCCTAGCCGCGACCTTTTGTAGGCTTCACTCTTTCAGTTCCCCCCCTTTAAATTGTTTCGTCTTTTCGGTTCCAAACTATTTTAAAAACTAAAATAATGATTTTTACTTTTCCTAATTATTTTTGTTTAAATTGATTTATGTTATAATTTTTTCTCTAATTAATTTTTATATTTTAAAAAAATTATGATTTATTATTCAGTTAACAGAAGTTAACACAATTAACTTTATATATTACGCATAAATTATTTTACACATAACATCTTCTTATAGATTATTAATGCATATTATATGTCACATCAAATTTAATATGACAGATAAATTATAATAATTTGAATATGTTCATATGGATCAAAATTTTAAAAGAAATATATCTTAAATTCTCAAAATCATCTCTAATGCTTCTTTTTTTTCTTTCTCTCACTCGTTGCCTCCCTTTTTTTTTTTTTTCTTTCTTCTCTCTATCTCAACTTAGACGAACAGAAACAACGAGTACAGAAATACGTATCTAAACTTACTCAAAAATAAAGGAAAAAAAAAGAAGCAATAGAAGATGATAACTTAACATGCTTACCTCAATTGAAGTTTA